TATTGTTAACATTTAACCCCTTAAGTTATATTAATCGAGCTTGTCTCCAAGCAAAATTTCCAGGAATGATTATTATGGTTAGGTTTTAAGATATTATTTTATATTTTTAAACACAAAAATATCAACTTTGTTTTTGGAAGCCCAAAACAACATAAAAACTACAAGAAAACCTAGAAAAAAAAACTGTAAAAAAAAAAAGGGGAAAGAACTAAATAAAAAACGACAAAACCATTTCCGTTACATCAAAAAAAAAAAAAAAAAATACACAGTAAAAAAGACTTTATTGACTCAACTTGCTATACACACCACACATTCACAAAAACATATGTGCGTGCCCGAATGTGTGTATGTTTTATTCTCTTGATAAAAGCGCAAGAATAACAACAGCAACAAAGGCGAAATGACAACAAAAGCGAATTGAACTCACGAACGCACCTGTCTGCTGGCCAGAGGGGCAAAGGGGTATAACGGGGGGCGGCTGGCAAAGAGGCGGCGCGGTCAGGAAGAAGGAGGAGGGCGGCAAAGGGCTGAGCAGACAGCTTATCGCCGCGAAACTCGCGCACCGCCTCGTTCGCTCTTTCTCATTTTTTCCACGCATTATCTCAGCGACTAGAAAAACGCGCAGTTTCCGCATAAACAAATAAATAAATAAAAAAGAACACACAAAAATAATTATAAATATTAATTGTAAAATCGAGCCCAAAATATTGTAATTCTTACTTGAAGACAAACTAAAGTTATAAGTCAATTAAATTTACCGTTTCTATTAAACTTCTTCAATGCATTAATTTTGCAATAATTTATCCAATACAATTATTAAAAATCACAAAGAAGACAAACAACATTTCTAGAGAAAAATTCTACGAAAACCACACGCGTTTTTGGGTAACATTTAATAATATTTTTTTATTGTTATTATTTTTTTTTAGTTTATTTATTTATATTTTTTTTTGGACGCTTGGACGCTTAACAAATTCGCCGCAACAATATCAAATAATAAACAACAAAATAGAGAGGAAAAAAAAAACTCACACACACAAGGGGGTGTGCGATAAGCACACTCGGAGAAATAAAATCAAGCTGGCAACGCTGGCAAAGAGAGGCGAGACTCTTCTGATCAGCTGAATAAAAAAAGAGACTAGCAGAAGAATTGTAATGCATTACGATTCTGTCCCTTTTTTTAATATTACCACTAAGGGAAACGCAGAGAGAGAGAAAAATCCTAAAGAACCTTACTTTTCCCTTTCGCAAAGTCTTGTAGAAACGGGAAACTCAAAATCGAAACATTTCTTTGGATTCTTTGGGGGTTTTTATGCAGTTTTTGTATATAAAATACAGATATACATACATATGTATGTAGATTGTTGTTGTTTTTTTTTTTTTAATATGTATATTTTCACACCTTGGCGACAGACACACATACACACGCGAACGTAAAGCAAAGGAGAGAGTAGAAGAGGAAGAATTGAGCACGCGACCGTTGATCGCACATATAAAAAACGTTTTTATTTTCTCATTGCCTTTGCCTCATCTTGAAGAAACATTCGGTTTCCCTTTACTTTTCTTTCGTTTATTTTATATATATATATTTTTTTTTATTTCTTTGCGCGCACAAAACTCTGCCCGATCTTGGTTGGCTTTTCTTTCTGCTTATTTTTGTATTGTAATTGTAATTTTATTTCGGGCCGCTTTTGCCGCCGAGCGAACCGCGCAACCGAACAGATTGAATATCTGACAGATACTGAGACGGCGAGCGTATCTGGCCGAGTGTGGCGGCGAAAAGGCAACGCGGCGAATTCGCCTAAAATAAACAAAGCCAAGACTCACTCCGGAAAGTCACTCAAAAGTTTCTTTCCTTTTTATTTACACTTTTGCCGTTTTTAGTTTATCGCGAGCGGCGGCGACTAATGAACTTGTGTACTCTCTTTCGCCTGCTCTCGCTCTGTCTCTCTCTGCCCCCTCATTTATTGCCCTCTGTTTTGTAGTCTCTTTCGCATTCAACTTGTTGATAGCGCAAAATGATTTTTCCTCTTTTTTCCCCCGATTTCTTATCAGCAAAAAATGTACCTCTGTGTGTGACCTGGGAAATGTGCGACTTTAGCTTTTTACTCTTTAACTTGTTCGGCTTTTTTACCTCTTCGTTGTATATATTTTTACGGTTTTTACTGTTAACGCTAACGTGACCATGGCCGTAATTGATTGCGCTGCCTGCAGATAGCCGCCTTAATGAATTGATGGGCAACGGCAGCGCCAGCGCAAACTTTAGCAAAAATGGAAAAACATGGTAGCGAAAAAAATTAAAAACAAAACAAAGAAATTCCTGAGCTTAAGGTTTAAAACAATTTTAATGTCAATATTTCAAAAATGCAATGTTATTTTTCCTTACATATTCTAATACAAAAAATATAGTTTTATAATAATAGAAGTTTTTGAAATATTAATTTTATTTTACAATTATATTTTCAGCAGCCATTTAGAAAGAAAACGTATTTTTCCACAGTTGGAGATATTCACTATTTATATATATATATATATATACTTTATTATAATAAAAAAAATAATAATAATAAAAAAAAAATATAATAAAAAAATCTAGCCAAGCAAGCAATTTCTACAAAAAATTGGATACAATTCTTAGGGATTTCAAAATCTTAAGTTCCGTTGATATTTAAAATAAATTATTAAGAAATGATTTTAATTAATTTTTTCTGGTCTCATCCCACATTTTTCAGTCATTTTATTATAGAACACAAGAAAAAATTAATACGAAAAACTAGAAGATAACATGTTTTCTCTGCAGCAGGGAGTTTAATTAAACTTGTCAACATTTTTACTGTCATTTTGCGATATTAAATCAAACAAAGACAACAGCTACTCTTTACGAAAAAAAAGGCAGAACACTTTTGCAGACATGACTCAAGAATATGCACCGTTACCCAAGCTGGCTCAAAAATTAAAAAAATAAACACACAGAGCATCGATTTCGACTCAGTTTCAGTTGGCCAAAAGAACCGGCTTTTGAGCAAACCAGAAACAGATAAGAAAAAGAAGAAAAAAAAACAGAAAAACAGAAACCGCAACAACAAGAAGCCAAAAAACAGAAGCGAAAAATAATAAAGAAAAAATGTAATGCTCAAAGTTCTTTGGCGACTGCAGCAGATAAAACTTTGGATAAACTTTGCCCGAGCTTTGACTCTGCCAACAAAAAGCTCCACTCAACCCTTACGATATTGGCTCCCTTTTTTTTTGCTCGAGTTAAATTCTCTCACCGTTTGGCTCAATGCCAAGTTGCCGGCAAACGAAGCCGGGCCGGACCGAAGTTGAGTGGAATTCAAGAAAATCAAAACAAATAAAATGAAGTCAGTGCAAAGACACAAAGTAATAGCCGGAAAGGATATTAACTTAATACGTTTACTTCAGTCTATTTTTTAGGGTTACCTGATATTCTTTTAATAAGCAATTTAATTTAAAAGTATATTTAAACCTCCATTTGTATTTAAGATAGAGATTAAGTGCAATTTGTAGCCCTTCTCTTAATAAAATATAATTTCCATAGGTTTCGTTAGAGAAAAGCCTGCAATCCTTTAAAAAGGTTTTCTTAAAAAAAATATATATATATGTATATATTTTTATCAGTGTTTAATGATATTTATTTATTTATTTTAATTTAAAGGCACTTATTAAATATTAAGGCGTTAATGCTATTATGTGCCCTTTTACTTAAATACTTGGCTCTCATTTTGTTATGGCCTTTTTGTTTGCCAGTGTTTTTTTTTTTTTTTTGTCGTAGCGGAAACGGAAATGACGGCAGACAAGTGTGCGTGTGCACGTATCTGTGTGACTCTATAAACCACATGGAGCGTGACACCGACGACATCAGCGACTTGGCTTCCTGCAAAGTGTTGACAAAGCGTGCGAAGTCTTCCCTTGGCTGCTGCCTCCAGTGCCACTCATGGCGGAGCGCGCTCCCCTTTTCTACTTCCATGTTCATTCTTATTCCCATTCTGCAACTCCTTGTTACCATTACAAAGGCAAACAGTAGGATCACACAGGACAAAAAAGAAGTCTCTTCGGAAATGCCAAAGACTTTACTAGTTTTGAAATTCACAAAAATTAGTTTTAGATACTAAAAGTATCTATAACAACAAATGAGAAAATTAATCGAACCATAACATTTAAGGGTTGCGTGTATAAAATATTTTTGTACAATTATTAAGTGATTTAAAATTTTAGTAATAGAGAAATTTACAATTTAAGCAATTATTCATAAGCTTGCTTGTAAGGTCTAGCAATTTATAGCATACTTTTCGGCACCATTCCAAGTATTTTTTAATCTTAAGAAAAATAATTCCCCATGGTGCTAAATACTTTTTATATAATTTTTTTCTGTGCAGTCTTAGAGAAAGGTGGTGGTGGTGGGCGTGGGTCCGCCTGAGCCACGCGACAGCGACCATAAATTGTGTAAAGTTCTCTCTAGTTGCCTCTCGCTTGGTTTTGTTTGTTTGCCCGGCCCGTCCGCCATTCGTTGTTTGTTTGGCCGTTTGTTTGAAATTAATTAAAAGTTTATGTGATTGTTTTCAGCTTGGCAGAAGTTTTTTGGGTTTGATCCCAACATAACTCATCTCCCTATCTTACTGACTTAATTATTTTATTGTTCCTGCAAATGCCATTGATTTTAGTTATGAATTCAAAAAATCATTGTTCTCATAAAAAACAAAAAAAAAATCTCAAACCCCTCAGACTTGAAGTTTTCAATTTTCCGCCACTTAAAGTCAGACAATAATGCCACAAGGGCAGATCCTTCTCCAAACCTCTCAACGCAAAGGATAATGAACGCTGAAATATGCAACAAATGGCGGCAGGACAACAATGACATTGAACCTTGCCCAGCGCCCTTTTGTTTCAACATTCAACAGATATAAATCTGAGAATAATAATAACTTAATGACCCATGAAAGTGTCGATTGTTGTGCTTAGATGGAAAAATGTAAGGAACTTACCAATTTTACGTCTCGCCCGCCATAAAACGGGCGGCGCCGCGTTGTTTGGTGAAGAAGCCATTGTTCAAATTAAATCTGCAATTAAAGAAACACAAATATTAGAGCCGGATTTGTGACGAGAGGATTTACCTAGAATCCCATTTGTACATTTCCTACATAATTTTTTAATTGCCTGATTGGGAAAACCCTCAAGCCCCAACGAAATCCGGCAAAAAACCGAACCGAAAAACTTTTCATGCGGGCCAAACAAAACATTGAACACCAACAGATACAAGATACATCCGCCAGCAAAAAATACGGAAAAAAACCGCACAATAAATAAATACTTGGCCGAATGGGTGAATGACTGAGTGACAAGCTTTGATTAATGGAGTCAGCAGTCAAAGCAACATCATTAGACTATTTATGAATGCAAAAGTTGGCCAAGCAAAAAGCCGGAGAAGGAGCCCCAAATTTATATGCTCTCTCTGGCCAAGTTTGGCATCATAAATAATTTGTGACACATTCGTTTCGTTGGGGGGAAAATGAAATTTATAGGGATTATACATAGACCTATATACGTAGCTTGAAGATATTCGGCAATTAAAATATGTATTAATAAAGTCTCGAGGGTGAAAAGTTTTTAGAGAAGCTGATTGTTTAAATAAGTCCACCGAAAACTGAAGAGTGCTTTGTTTGTTAATAATTTGCTTTAAATTCGTTTGCTACTTATAATTTTAGGATTATATATATGGTTTTTTTTTTCTCTTTAAAAAATATTAATCCAATTATTCAATTCTAATCTGAATTTATGACCTTTCTGAATTATTATAAATCTGTACCCAAAACTTAAATATTAAACATTAAGCCAACAAAGACATTATTTATTCTGACTAAAACCATAAGCGAACAATAGAGAAATAATAAACCAAAACCTTAACCTTTTATTTGCCACTTATTATATTTGAATAATCTAGCACAAAATATTGACCAATTTCAAACAATGACCTCTGAGAGCTTTGCATAAATTAATCAAACATTTGGGGAGCTCAATCGAACAATAGTAGAAATTATAGAAATATATTCATTAGATCAACAAAAGGCTCTTGGCCACGAGATCAAATAAAGAACTTACTAAGCAAAATCTGATCAACAAAAAAAAACCCCATTATCATATTTCAACATTTTTTGAATGGAATTCCTGTTCGCCTGCCGAGGAACTTTCCTTCAACTGTTTATCATCTGAATGCTCCGTGTTTATGGCTTTTCCCACTGCGCTTGTTTGGCTTTTCTTATCACAACACGTAGCCTTATCGCCGGCGACCTTGACTTTTTATCTCACAATTAGTAGCGCGCTTTTCAATCTGCGCCGTCGTGTCGCGTCGCTCAAGCAGTCGTCCAAGGTGTGAAGGCAAGTCAATGAACCTGAACTGCCAGCGATCGGAAGGTTGTCTTTGACTGAATTTTATTTGATTTTTATATATATTTTATTCTGGCGTTGTTCTTAATGACCGTTTACAGCAGCGAATTGAATTAAATTCGTTTTGCCACGCTCTTTTCGATTTCCACGTTTCCCTGATAAGCAAAAAAGTATATCAACTGAACTGAACATCAGAAATCTATTGATTTTGTAATAAATATTGACAATAAATCAAATCTTTGCACTGCAAAAAATGTATACCAATAAAATTCGTTTATTTAGAATTTAAAAAAATAGAAAGCATGCAATACATGTTTTAAGCTTACTAAAAATGATTTTGATGTCGCTAAAATACAATAAAAATTAGTTATGAATATTATTAATTAATAATATCTAATAATTCGAATATTTAGAGCTACTTTTTTGTCGCCGTGTGTATATTTCTTTTACTTTATTTATTGGCCTGTCAATTAGATTTCATGAAATTCCATTGTCAGTTGGCGCCTGCCTGTCGATCAGCAGCGGCAGAGGCAGGCGCTAGATTAGGCGACAGGGGCGGAGCAGATAGTGCCGCAGGGGGACGCCAAGCAGGGCCCGTCTCCACAGATTATAACTGCGCACAATTTATTCGCAATTAGTGTGGTTGCAAAACACAAAAAAAAACTATGCCAAGACAATGAAATGTAAACAGTTAGAACGGCACGGCAAAAAGTCATTAGATAAACCGCCTTTTTTACAAGGGAGAATAGAGAGCATTATAATTAGGTAAAGGCTTTATGAACATCTGAGTTTTTTTTATCAACTATTTTTGGGTTCAATAGGTGGGCACAGTTACCGCAAAAATGTGCACAACAGCTTTACACGTTTTGATTAGGTTTTAAATATTATTTTTAAAATGATTGCTTAATTGATTAAATTATATTTATTATCATTACTTGTTATTAGTAATAAATATTGAAAAAACACTATATTAATACATTTTATTTTAAATATGTTTCAACTATTAAAACATGCAAACAAAGAAGGTACCACTAAATAACACAAATCCCTCTTTATACAATTATTTAAAATGAACCTTGGCACTTAATTTTGATAATAAAATCAAAATATAAACGCTTCAATTAAAAATACCCTCGTAAATGTCATTGGACTACTTCCACACTTCTGCATATTAAATTTCACAACGAAGGCTCTACACCAAACAACAAAAAAAAATTAATAATAATAAAAATAAAAAAAAATACCACAAAAACGTGGCCAAGTACAAGGAATAATAATTCATAATTAAGACGAAACGCATATCACGCATACGTTCATTATTTCTTGCGACTCTAAAATGCGTAATCATCTAAATAATAACAATATCAGACCACGTACCATAAACTATAAACCGTAAACAAAAATAATTGTTGCAAATCAAACAGCAGCTGACGATGGGTAAACAATGGTCCCCAAAAAATATAAAACCTAGAGAGCTGGTGAGCTGGAGAGCCAGGTAAACAATAAAACACGAGCAAAGTTGGCAAACAACAGAGGCCGAAAATGAAAGGAGAGCGTGTCGAATCTGGGTGAGATCTGCCATGCCTTATATACTATATTCAATATATACTATATATAATGGAGGAGCTGTGGGTGGAGCAGCCAAGGCGACAGGCTACACATCAATCAGCCGAAATCAAAATAAAAACGCAACCTGTTTGGCATTTTAAATATATTTTCTGCGGTGAAGCTTTGTAATTTTAATTTCATTATTGGGCCCCTGCATACTCTATAATATATAATATTTCGATTTGGTAGGGCTTCATGGCAATGAAAAGCAAGAAAAAACAAGAGGCTTTTATCATAATCATCCATATTTGTAGACTAAGTTCTACATTGTATTTGTACGGTTTGTTGTAAAGTTAAATGAGATCTTAATCACCAGTTTGCATGTTAATAAAGGCTGTCAGAAGCTCAGCTCCACATTTGAAAAATGACTTTACCTTTTTCACTTAAATGTTGTATAAGATAAAAGGTGTTAGAGCCATAAGGGGATTTACCAAGTTTCTTAATTTATGAGGAGATGACAAGGAAATACCTAGCTTCGCCTAAAAACCTAGTTTTGGTTATTTGCTATCACCTTGTCATTACTTTTTATTTTTTTAGGCTAGAAAATTCCCCAGAAATAAAAAAATTTTAAGAAATCAAAACCTATTTTTTAATATCAGCACGAGATAAAATAAATATATTGTAGCGTTTCCCATCCTCTCCAGAAAAATAAAACCTAATTAATAAGATGAAATAATTATAGATGAAAGAATAACTTCCTTTAATTGGTTAAAACAAAAAAAGAGTTCCGGTAATTGTTAAATTTCGCTTTGTTAGTATCTCCAAGTGTATTTCCTGGGCCCAAAAACTGTGTGCGTTGAATTTTCTTCTGTTTGTATTTCTTTTCTTTTTTTTTCATTGGGTAATTGTTTGGCACACATAACAAACTTAAACTCGAAATGTGTTTGGCCGCTTTTCTTTCTTGCTTTCCCACACCAACTGCATGGAGTTGGAGCTGCTGATGATGATGGCTAATGCGTCGTTTAAATGCTGACATGCATGTCGAGGGCGAGATAAGATATAAGCCATATACTACACACTATATACGTACATACATAGCACATACAGCACTATATACTACGGCATATATGTAAGTCCGTACATATTTGTTATTCGAGCAGATTTTGCTGGCGCTGATAAAAGCGTTGATATCACCGGGAAGTTGGGGCCGTCACAATGCTAAAAGCCACGCGTATTTCGAATTAACATTAGCGTGCTGATTAAGCGAGTCAATTCCAGCACAGCAGCGGCAGCACCTCCTATCAAACACTTTTATATTATTATTTAATAATAATAATAATGCTGTTCCAAGTGGAACTCCCTGCTCTTTTGTTGCTAGGCGAAAAAATGCAGTGATTCACTTTGGCGACATCTCCTCGAAAGCCGAACCGAAGCAAATTAACAATTTCATGCAAAAATTAAAAATCTTTCCATGCCCTCGAGTGACGCAAATACCGGGAAGACCACTGACGTCTCTGGCTTGGACTTCAAAGTCGATTTATTTCTGGTCACTTGCGGAGATTTCGTCACCCCCAGAGGAAGGGAATGCTTTGGAGTGCAAATGTGATAATCACTGGTAAAGGGGAAGTGATATTACGGGTAATACCTGAGTCACCTGGTATGTTTGGGGTGGAAAAAGGCCCTACAGGTTAATGAATATGCAAAGGTTTACTTATTTCTGATAAGTCAATTGAGTCACATGACATTATTTTTGAATTACCATAAGCTTACTTGGGAAATGTAAGATCTGTTTTGAAAAAAGCCAAGAAAAGATTATTTTATAAGTAATATTCGCAAATATTTAATTCCCTAAAGCATTGTGCTAAATATGTTTATTAAAACATCATCGATTGGTCCTGCTTCATTAGTTTTATTTAATTGTCAATATTAATATTCAGTTGATGGATGGCAAATACAAATCAAAGCTAATGAATACATTTTAAGCCAGTTTGTGAAAATATTTCCAGAATATATTAACGTAAAAAATGGCCCTCGGATTTTACCCAGATTGATATATCAAATTTAAATAAATTAAGCTACAATATAAGTTTGATAAATGAAGTCAGACAATAAGTAAGGCATATTTATAAATAATAATCAATCATACTTTTAAATGTATGATAAATTAGACTAATTAAATTTTTGTTTCTATTCATATTTGATTTTAATTAGGGATAATAAAAAATCAATATAGGTTGATATCATATGTGGAAAGGTAATTGATAACATTTTTCGTAATCTAAATTATTGTTAAGCTCATCTTATATAACTCAAACAATTCTAACAATCCTATACTGTAAACTATTTGTTTTACTATTTAAAACTTAATTATGAAAACGTGAATGCCATAAAACAAGCGGGGAAGCCTTTTTATTTTAATTGCCTTCCCTGCCCATTTCTTTATTTCATAACTGAAAATTTAAACATTTATTTTTTGTAGCCACTCATCTGGTCATTCCCTCGACGTTTTAGATAAAGAGGCCAGGCTTATCTGATTCACGTGGATGGCTGGAGATCTGATAGAGCAGCCTGCTCCACTTTTCTGACAGCTCGACAAATGCTCGTTCTCACCGTTTCAGCGGAGCCCACACAGCGCGCTCGTAATCAAAACAATCATCATCATCATCATCATCATCATCATCCCCATCGCAATCATCTCCATCTCCATCTGCCACCTGAGTTAATTACACACTTTTGCGGCGAACAAATATACTGTTTATATATACACATTTATCGGAACATGACCTAATGTGATAGTTAGAATGCGCGGCACGTCGGTTGGAACTGAGGAAAAATATCAACCAGCGACCAGAGACCGACCTTAACGATGTGATTGATATGGAACAGGAAGAAGACCGAGTTCGAGCCAAGCGAAATTTCGATGGGGAAGTCATTGCACGATTTATTGTGTGTTCAGGGTGCACGCATACTTATCGCTGGCACTCTTTCCCTTAATGATTCAGTCACTAAAAGTTAGTAACTTTTATTGGTTATAGCATTTAAACTTCTTTATTTTGTGGTCATATTTATTGAATTTTTTAAATAAAATCAAATACCTTGGAAGAGCTAATTAAAAAGTAAACATTTTTTGAGATTTTTTTATTAATTACAAAATTATTAAAAATATTGAAAAGTAAGGGATGCAGCCCTTACATTTAGCTATGTACACTTGTACCGTTCATCTTTTCTATCTTTCAGAAATATTAAAACCTTAAGGGTCACAGCTTTGCCCTGTCGGAAAATTAAAACTTTAAGGGCGGACTGGAAGTTAATTAGTTAACTGTAAGCGGCGCTTCACTTCTCATTCAGCTAACGTAAAGATATAAAAGATACAAGTGCTATATAGAAGAGGGGTTGAGCTAACTTTCAGGGGAAGCCAGAAGGCACGCCATAAACATCAAATGCTTGTCTAGAATGTCTTATCTCGTGACCATATAACATGGCAGGCTCTCTTTTTCTCTCTTTTTACCTGCCTCCACCTTTTACCGTTATTCGGCTAACGAGCGCTTGCAAAATCCAACAAAAAATCATGTTTTATTTTTTATTTACTTTTGTTGTTGTTTTTGCTACTTTTTTGACAGTCTCAAGCAGACACTTCACACAGACAGCCCAGGCGAAATGCTCAAGTAAGCATAAAATGCAATTAAAAGAAGCATCGCCGAAGAGAGCGAAGGAAATTAGAGCAAGTGAACAAGTGTTACAAAAAAAGAAGAAACCAATGGTAATAAAAAAAAAGTTTAATAAGAAATAAATAATAAGGCAAAATGATTGAACTACAGAAAAGCTAAGAGAGTAAAGAATTTGTGCTGCGAGAGTGACAATTCACAAGAAAAAAGAAAAAAGCTTGAAAATACAGACATAAATTAAATCAATTAAAAATCGAATAACTTATTTTAAAATCATATTTATAAAAAATATCCCTAGTAAATAAACCCCCATAGAATCACAAAAATTGGATTTTGTCAAACCTTTTTTAAGATAAATATTTATCTTTACCATCCTTTTATCAATATTTAATTAAATAGTTTACTTATATTAACTGATTATTTCTAAATGAATTTCCACTTACAATATCTAATCCTCGGGGCCTTTCACAATTATCCAAAAATGTATAGGCTATGTATTAAAGATGTTGCTCGGTTTGTTATCTTATTTATTTGCTGGCCTTAGCAATTGATATAAATTTGCTTTTATTGGATGGCTATTTAATATATCACCAAAACGCGAATATATATATTCCATTAATTCCACACTCAACTCAACTTTCGCGTGTTTATCTTGTGTTTTACATTTTATTTGAATTTTACTTTCCGTTTTGTTCCCTTTGTTTCTCGCTTAGTCTCTCTCTTTGCCAGAGAAACTGAGGCAACAGAAGAGGGGAAAAAACACTGTCACTGCATATACTCGTAATAAATTATAAAAAAAAACCGAGACGGTGGCTGTTCGTTCATTAGGAAAAGATTATTAAACATTGCCTGCGAAATAAGCTAGAATTTCGTTGGTCACTTTTAGCATACATTAGGAGGGATCTCTCCAGAGGCTGTTTCTATGTTCTGTATATTGGGGTTTTGTTTTATTTCCACGCACACTGCTACATACATATATAAATCCGATTCTGGATTGGTAAATTCTGCTTCTTTCTGCTTCACTCTCGGCTCTTTCCGTAGCTTCTCGCTTTTCTCATTTGCTCCGTATTCTTTATTCTTCTTTTCCTCTGTTTTTTAGACAATACACTCCACTGTTATTCGCACCGCTTTCCAATGGCAAGGAAGTTGTACCATTTGCGATTTACGATTTACGACTTACGGCTTAATGGTTTGATGATTTCCTTAAACAAACTTTACGATTTCGAATTTTCATCGATTTGATTTTGATTTTCTTTGTTGAACTCGCGCCGCAGTTGAAAGGAAAAAAAAGCGAAACACACGCGCACAACACGCTGCTGCTCAGCCCGATCGGATCATCATTATCTTGATCCCAAAAATATATAATCCGCATCCAGGCTAATGCGGCTGCTGCTGTGTTTATTCTTCTTCACTTCTCCTTCTGCCTCCACTTTCGGCGAGAATCCCCGAGGAACCGCTACCGAGAACCGAGGAACCGAAAAACCGAGAACTTGGCGCGACGAGTGGTGAGCGTAAACTGAACTTAGTGAGCGAATGCGACCCAGCGATCGCGATGGAGCAGCTCTGCCGGCGCTGGCGTAGGCGCTCGCGTCGACGTCGGCGTCGTTGGTGGATCATCGTAGGGGTTTGCTCTTGGCGTTCGTCGTCAGTGCTGCCCTTTTAGAAATTAGGTGTGGAAACTATTTGCGCTCCTAATATTTCAGATGGCAATATATAAAAGTTTACGGATTTTTTAAAAGGATTTTGAATTTATATGATTTTTCATTTCATAAACTAGAAATATTAAAAACACATTTTTTTAAAATTAAAACATAGTGCCAACACTAGGGCAGTCTCCGCTCTGCTGTAGCTGGCAGAGGGCTGAGAGCAGCGGCAGTAAAACACAGAGAGCAAGAGAGATGCAGATGGAGAGTTTTGCTGCTGGAGGAGCATTTGGATCCCACGTTGTTGTAAAGTATTCTTTTTGTTGTGCCTGTTTCAGCTTAGCCCCTCCCCTCCCTTGGGGCACTGCTCTCCTCTTTTTGGCAGCTAACGGGTGCAAAGTCCAAGTCCAAGAGCGACGAGCATCCGAAAGGTATTCGGATTCGGACTCTGCGTCCGCACTGCATCCAGTTTGCAGTTTGCTGTTTTTGGTTTGCCGTGTTTGCCTTCACACCTGCACCTTAAGCCCCTCACGCTCCACCAGGGCCCCAGATCGGTGCTAACTGAAGCTAATTCTCGCACAGCGCCTTCAGCTGCTTAGCATTTCCCTAGGATTCCTAGGCTAGGATAGATCGTGAGGAGGGTACTTTGAATGACACCTTTAACTAACTGGAATCTCGAGAGAAATAAATATACATATATATACCAGACTCTAAAGTTTTTGATTCTTGAACTGGGAAAACTCACTTTTGTAACCAAAAAGAAGACCTAAAATATTATTAAATTGGTCTGTATTTGTCGATATAGTTTTTGTGGGAAAACAAAGTTACAAAATAACTAACAATATCTAAATAAAAAAGGTTTAGTTATTTTCTATATTATTTTATTTTTAATAAGATTAATAAATTAAAGTATGTAATAATTTTTACTCATTTTCCTTTAGCCATTAGGCGTCACTTCCATGTTATTTAATATTCTTTTTTTTTGCTTTAACCTTTTCCGAAACTGCAGAGTCGACATATTTTCCGCCAAAAAACAGCCAAGACCAAACCCGAAAACCGAAAATTGCAACAATTGCGAAAATAATTATTATTTCCAAACCGAAATAAGCACTAGCCACGACATGCTGGAAGTGTTTGCGTTATTTGATTGGTATTTGTATTTGCTTGAAGCCCCAAAGAACGCAGATACTAGATACTCGAGCTGTCGAATACTCAAGAGAGCCGCCCCGGCACCATATGTTGGCTATACTAGTTGGCGTTACCAATTAGCAGGATCACAACACTAGGGGGCGATTAGTCACAGGCCATTTGGCAATCGAAGCGAAGGTGGGGATTTGCTCAACATTTTGTTTTCCGTTTCTATTTGCATTCTGTAAAATGCCACCCAAAAAAAGTAAAATAATAAAAGTATAATAATGGTTGCCAGGTTAGTGGGACACATGCGATGAATTGTATTATTTCTTAATTTGGGTTTGGAAAATAGAAAATAAAAATCATTGGAGGTTACAAAAATATTAAGTTCTTTTCCGCAAATCACCTTTATAATATATATAATACGACCAACATTAATGATAAGAGATATACCAATAGTCATTCGAAAACATAATACCGGTTTCCCCATAGAAAAATTTATCCGAAATAAAAGACCAAATTGTCAGCTCTGCTAAACAAACACCCAGTTTACCTGTGTTTGCCCACTGTGGTCTATATAAGGCAAAAAAAAAAAATAATAATAACAATAACAAAATAACAGACAGAACACTTGTGGCCGCAGCCACTCGGAGACTGTGACATGCCACCCCGCCAGACAGAAAGCCAAACACGAGCAGCAAAAGTCCCACAACTCAGGAGCTCGAAAAAAGAAACAGAACAATAAAACGCCTGAAATATCAAGTAAATCAGGCAACGAGCTCGTGTTCAACTTGGCAAAGATGGCAATTTATCAAAGACCGGAAAATTACTGTGAGAATTTTACAGCGGAAGATAAATCTATGGTAAATAAGGGGCTGCACCCGGTAGGTACAGTCCATAAATGTGCCTTTTGCCAATCAATATCTCTGCAATATCAACTTTATCATAATTGAACTTAATGAGTTGTAATAGTTTGGTTTGCATTACTCATACGCACAGTTTACATCACTCATACGCAGTGGTTAACGTGACTGATGTGCCAAAAAAAGTTACAAAATTATTATACATATCACCTATTTAATTTATTTCTATTATATATAAATCAAAGTTAGCTCACTTTGTTATTTCATTGAAATTTTAGTTATTTCATAGAAATTTTAAATTTTTCATAGAAATTTTAAATATTTCATAGAAATTTAAAAAAGAAAATACAATAAAATCCAGTTGCACATCTTGGGCAGCTGTTTAGTTGCTTTATTATTTATTTATTAATTTGATTTGATTTACTGAGAGATTTTCTTAGAGTCAATGCTGATTCACGTTTTATTTGCAATACTCATACCAAACAAAAAGTTATAATATAATTATACCCATTGAGTTTATTTTTATTATATATAATTTATAGTTTGCCCACTTAGTTGTTGCATAGAAATTAAAACCAGTTACACATCATTAAACAGCCCCATCTACCGCCATCGATGATAGACCAAAACCATCTGAAAATAGCACTTGGTGGGTCAATAATAGTCCGATCACAGACATCATTATAAACATCAACATCGTCAGCTTGGATGCTGGGATCATTAAAAATAGCAGGCTATCTGAAAGGCAACGTGCGCCAATTGTCGGAAATGCAAAATAATTGTGCAAATTTCCACTGGATAGATGGGAAAATCAAAGAACTCGTTCGCTTGATTGCCTCTCAGGGGACTTTGTTGTACAAAAGGTGGCTCAATTGAACAATTTTAGCTGGAACTTTCCGGCCTTTGTTCTGCCTGCCAAAAGTATATAGTCCATGAAATTTGTATGAAATTTTCAGGAGGTTATTTATGAAGCTGCCAGCTTAGGAAGATTGGAAGTAATGAGGTATTATATTGGTTTCTAACTGAAGTACAGAATACATTTGAAATTTACAAAGATTTCTATACTAAATTGAATAGAATAATTATAATTAATTCTATGAATGCAGGTCTAATTCACAAAATCATTTTTCAAATATTTCTCAACCAGGAACAGACAAAAATACAATCTATTTTTTTACCCAAGTCCCAAAATAGTGAATGAATACCGCGTCGCAGTTCTCATGAATCCACCAACCGCTCAAGATCTCGTTAGTTATTTGTTTCCTTCATTCTATAACAATTGCAAAAACCATATATATTTGCATTTTCATTTTGTTGTTGACAAACAACGGCGAATAGAAAATAGAAAATCTTGCCATCGCTCGCGCTGTCAATAACGGTCACGTTTCGCATTTTCAGCCAAACAAATGTGTGTGCAAAAGTGCATTGTAATGGCGAGAGTGCTATCTAAGTGTCGTATCAACAATGGCCCACAATTGCCTTAAAAACAGAAAGCACACAGACACACACTCTCGCCACAAATTAAAGCCAAGATAATCAAGATTGAGGGGAGAACGACAACGGCCGAAACAAAAAGTAAACTGAGGCCTTTGTAATGCAAAACTTCCACAACAACTGGGAATAAATCAATGGAGGCGCAGTGGAGGAGCGGGAAGCTGCAGCCGGTAAATAAGCGGGTTGAGATGCGAGGAGATGAGATGAGGTGTTAATCGAATGCTCAACGCTACATGGGAAACGGAGTAAGAAATCAAACATATACTGCAAAGGTACTACGCGGTTCAAGCCAATCACGACTATTTCCTGACAAATAAAAAAAGAAAATTCATCTCACGGTAAAATTAACTAAATTTACAAATGATATAACTATATAATTTAATGGTTTTTATGAAGAAAAAAAAAAAAAAAAAAAAAACAGTGCAATTCGCGCTTAAATAAAGAAAAAAACACCTTATTCTTAATTTTTAATTCTGTAATTATATTTTTGAAGCACACTGTAGGTAATGAAAAACCCAAAAGCTAGAAGAACTGGTCATGAACTCTTCATTAATTTAGCCAAGGATCACATTCCCTTTTGGCCTTTGTGGAAACCTTTTAGCGCCTGCAGGCAATGGAATCATCGAACGGATGCGCCGACCACCATTGAACTGCAACGCGCACGTGTCAATTTCTAAAGCAAAGAAATAAAAAGCGAAGCAAACATTTAATTGAGCCATAAATGACGGAAATCGTAAAAAATAAAAATATAATAAAAAAAAAAAATAACGCACGAATGCATGCGACAACTGTACAACGAAAAGTCATTAAAATAACTCCCCGACAAATGCGGCTTAAACACTTGTCAAACTCAGCGAGGGAATTATGCTTAAGCGGAATGCTAATTTCTGAGAGTAAATCGCACTTCAGGAAATTCTCAAGAGGCATGACTGCTGATTCATGCTGCAAACTTGTTTAGTTGCTTTTTTATAATTTTTTTTTTTTCATTTACTGTGAGATTTCCTTAAAGTCAGCGCTGATTCCCGTTTTATTTGCATTACTCATACGCACCGCTAACATCACTCATACGCAGTGGTTCACGTCGCTGATTTGCGCTCTCTCTCAACGTAAGGTTTCGCCTTGCTTACGTTATTTAGTGGAGACACCAACCTAGGCAATCACGTAAGTCAGGAAAAGCTTAAAGTTACGTTGACAGGAAATGTAGATATAATATTGAATTTAATTTTACCAATTTATAAAGTTAGCTTGGGCTTATTTCAAGATGATTAAATAAAATAATAAAAAGAAAATAAGTTAATAATAATAATTATACTTCATTCAAAATTCATTAACCAATAATTTCTGATATTTTTCTGTGCAGTTTTAAAT